CAGCACCCAGCCCAGTCAGCCCCAGCACCAGTGGCCAGGCCGGGCAGCGCCAGCGTGTGCGCAGCCTCGGCAGGCCTGCTGGCCGAGCTAGTGCACGGCTGACCGGTTCAGCAGACCGGCAGTCCGGTCCAGACCGGTTCAGACCGATTCAGACCGGCTGGACCGGTTCAGCCCATATTTTCATGTTTCAGTCCCGGTTCTTGATTTCAGTATCATTTTCAGTTAAAATTCTGGGTCCAGTTCAGTTCAGTTCCGTACTTAACCGGTTCCAGTTATACCTATTAAGTCCGAATACCATGTTAAGTCTTTTAGAGCATCTTAACATAATTAATCAGTTAATTTATCAGTCTGAGCATAGTCCTTAGTAATTGTTTATATTATTTTTCAGTTTGATCAGGCATCAGCACTACCTGCATTTTCAGCAGTTCAGGTGGGGACTCAGACTAAGTACTACATTGATTATAATATCGCTACCATGTTTGTGGTATGTATATTCAGTATCCGCTCAGAATGGTTGTCGGTCCATTCTGGGTTCTAGTGGCCCTAATCTGCCCACTAGAGTGTGCACATGGTGTCCGGCTTTGCCGGCAGATGTTCAGTTTCAGACACGTGACTTATGTCACGAGATCAGTATCAGATTATTCAGACCGGTATCAGATATCAGTTTCAGTTCAGTTCAGTTATATATGCCAGGATCATGATATTGTTATTATTTTCACTGTTTTACTTTAGTATGAGTTTCCACGGAGCACAGTGTTATAGTGCTCACGTCCCACTTATTTCATGTTTTTCAGGTCACAGGGTCGGGGACGAGGAGTGAGCTGACGAGCTGTTCAGGATATTTGTTTTGTTATGTATAAACTATGTTTTGGCCACGCTACATTTCCGCTAAAACTTTCAGTACTTAAACTCAGTTTTGGTCCGACACTAGTTGGTTAAAATATTATATAACCGTTTCTATTATAAGTTTAAAATTAATGGCTTTTCAGTCAGATTTTCACGGTAGCACCCCGAATCAGCTTTCGCAAAATAAATATTTTATTAATTACTCAGAAAATTTGCGAAAAATGCGTACTCTGATATTATTAAATTAGCGGGGTATTGCAATTGGTATCAGAGCACGTTTCTGTGTCTCTGAAAAGTTTTATCAGTCAGAAATTTTCAGAGAAACCTGAACCGTCACACTCACTCCTCGCCGACTACAGGTAAGTGCTGATTTATGTTTCAGTTATAAACATATTACTATTGTCTATGCTCAGAAATTATTAATCAGGACTTAGTTAAGATGCTCGAATCAGGATCAGACTTTAGAACTCAGTGTACTCAGATATAACTCTAGACGTCTTCAGGATTTATATCAGTATTTTCTGGCCATTTTTGGCAACTCGTCAAGAGATCTGTGTACTTTAGAAATCAGTCAGAATATTTTTCATGTGTTCAATAATTTGAACTTTTTTTCAATGTTCAGATGCTGCCCCGTAGGGAACCCGATCACCCAATTCTTCCTCAGGCCATGGTGGTCGCACAGTTTCGCGACTATCACCCTGAGAAATTTTCCGGGCAGGGAGACCCTCGTATCGTGGACGAGTGGATTCAGGGCCTTGAGTTTATTTTCGAGGTCATGGATTGTCCAGACAGATATCGCGTTGTATGCGCTCAGCTTCAGCTAACCGGTGATGCTCGGCTCTGGTGGAATTCCTACTGGAGCATGCGTCCCGGCGAAAAGGCGGGATGTACATGGGATAGGCTCAAGGAGCTGATCCGCGAGAAGTACTACCCCACCAACTACAGAGCAGAGATGGAGCGTCAGTTTCTGTCGCTCAAACAGGGTACTCGGACTGTAGACGAGTACGAAAGAGAGTTTACCAGACTTGCAGCTTTTGTTCCTGACTTGGTTCGTACGGAGGCCCAGAGAGCACAGCGCTTCATTGACGGACTTTACTCAGCAGTCCGTCATAACATTGTAGGTCACGGGACTCAGACGTACGCTCGTGCAGTTTCCATTGCCCAGGAGGTGGACGCCAGCATCAGGAGGGAGGCCATCCATGATCGTCCTCAGCCATTCGCTCCCGCCCAGTCATCTACATCTCCACCAGCTCTACCAGCTGCCCAGCCGACGAAGGAGAAGAAGAGGAAGGGGAAGGGCGCACAGACCGATCGGAGGACCCGATAGAGGCAGCAACAGGTTTCACAGTGTCCCACATGCGGACGTTTTCACCAAGGTGAGTGTCGCTTCGGCCAGGATATATGCTACTACTGTCACGAGCCCGGACACTTTGCTAACCGTTGTCCGAAGAAGGTGCAGCAGCCCCCGCAGCCTCAGCAGCCCCCGCAACAGCAGTAGCCCCGTCAGCAGGCTCAGAGGCCACCACAGCAGCAGCAGCAGAGGGGCAGACAGCAGGCCCGAGTCTACGCAGTCGATCAGGTCGAGGCCGAGCAGCAGCCAGGTACTATGTCAGGGATGATCATGCTTAATAATATTCCTGTGTTCGCTTTATTCGATACTGGAGCGACACATTCTTTCATTTCACGATGATGTCTTGATGCCATCGGAGTTCACGCTACCACTGCTATCGATCCTCTCGAGGTGAATTTAGCCTCGGGACGAAAGATAGTGACCTCAGCTAAAGCTTCAGATCTCAGCCTCTCCATCAGTAGTCATTCATTGTCTGTCGACGCATATGTTCTTGAGATGAGAGATTTTGACCTTATTCTCGGGATGGATTGGCTATCTTTTTATCATGCATATATTAGATGTCATGACCGGGAGATTACTCTTTATCTTCCAGGAGACGAGTCGATCACATTCTTTGGCACCAAGAATCGTTCATTACCCCAGGTCGTTTCAATGGCGAAAGCTACCAAGTTGCTGCGACGAGGCAACTGCCAGGGTTATCTGGTGAGCCTTGTCGATGAGTCCCAGAAAGCACGATCACCTCACGATGTCCCAATTGTTCGTGAGTTTGTGGACGTGTTCCCAGACGAGCTTCCAGGAGGACCGCCTAACCGGCAGGTTGAGTTCTCTATCGATCTCATTCCAGGAGCCGGCCCAGTATCCAAAGCCCCGTACCGTATGGCGCCGAAGGAGTTGCAGGAGCTTAAGGCGCAGATCCAGGAGCTTTTACGACTCGGTTTCATCCAGCCGAGCGTGTCACCTTGGGGAGCACCCGTTCTCTTTGTCAAGAAGAAGGACGGATCCATGCGCATGTGTATCGACTACCGGGATCTTAACCGGTTGATGATTAAGAACAAGTATCCGCTTCCCAGGATCGACGACTTATTCCATCAGTTGAAGGGAGCCTGTGTATTCTCAAAGATTGATTTACAATCAGGCTACCACCAGCTGAAAATTAAGGAGTCAGACATCGCTAAGACCGCGTTCCGGACTCGTTACGACCATTACGAGTTTGTTGTCATGCCATTCGGCCTCAGTAATGCTCCAGCAGTTTTCATGGACCTGATGAATCGTATTTTCCATCCCTACCTCGATCAGTTTGTTATTGTCTTTATTGACGATATTCTTATCTACTCGAAGAGCCAGAAGGAGCACGAGGAGCATCTGAGGGTGGTTCTCGAAACCCTCAGACGAGAAAAGTTATATGCCAAATTCTCCAAATGCGAATTCTGGCTCCAGCGAGTAGCTTTTCTGGGTCATGTGATTACTCAGGCAGGTATCGAGGTGGATCCTTCTAAGGTCTCAGCTGTTCAGAACTGGTCGACACCGAAGAGTCCGTCCGAGGTTTGCAGTTTTCTCGGTTTAGCTGGCTATTACCGCAGGTTCATCAAGGGCTTTTCCAAGATTGCCCTCCCACTATCCCTGCTGACGAGGAAGTCTGTGAAGTTTAAGTGGACTGATCGTTGTGAGGCGAGCTTTCAGGAGCTCAAGAAGAGATTAACTTCAGCCCCGGTGTTGACCATTCCCGATCCTTCTCGGAGTTTCACCATTTTCAGTGATGCTTCGAAGCAGGGACTGGAATGTGTACTCATGCAGGACGGCCATGTCGTTGCCTATGCTTCACGTCAGCTTAAGCCACACGAACAGAACTATCCGACGCACGACTTGGGGTTAGCCGCCATTGTTCATGCTCTCAAGATCTGGCGACATTATCTTTACGGCAGACGTTGCGAGATTTTCACAGATCATAAGAGCTTGCAGTACATTTTCACGCAAAAGGAGCTTAATATGAGACAGCGTCGTTGGCTCGAGCTCGTTAAAGATTACGATTGCTCAATTCAGTACCATCCGGGGAAGGCGAACGTCGTTGCTGACGCCCTAAGCCAAAAGGTGAGGGGTGACTTGATGTACGTCGTTACTCAGCAGAGTCCGCTAATTCAGGAGTTTGCCCGGATGCAGATTCAGGCGGTCGACGCACTTCCCACAGCCATTTCGGGGAGTGTATGGATGGGATCCAAGGATAGTCCCATATGAGAATTTTAGTGCCCATGTTCACCTTGTAGAGGACATTTTCAGTGAAGAATGACAAAGTTTTTCTCCAGCTGGCCTAAAGCCATGAGGTATTTGACTGTGCTTTGGCAAGGAGAAGGGAGGAATTTTGAAACTATTTAGCTTTGATGACTCTACTCACTAAGAGTTCTGGTTGGGAGTGGAGCCTCCGGAGTTGCTTTGCAATTAGTGCTTTGTTCATTAGATGAATATCATGGAACCCCAGTCCCCCTTTGCTTTTTGGCAAGGTGATGTGATTCCATGATTTCCAGTGAATACCATGGGAGCCTTGCTTCTTGCCTTTCCACCAGAACTCAGCAACGCTCTTGGCTATTTTTTCACAGGTTGCATTGGGAAGCATAAAACATGACATGGCATAAATAGAAAGAGCCTCCAGCACTGCCTTAAGAAGGATTTTCTTACCTGCAAGACAGAGAAATGAATTTTGCCATTTTGATAGATGCTTTGGACTGCTTGGTCAATAAAGGAGAAGGTATCCAGCTTTGTTTTGCCTATTCCAAGGGGCAAGCCAAGGTATTTTGATGAGCTTTACAGTTGGATACCCATAAGGATTTGGCAAATTTGGTCTCTGAGGTGATGGGGTGTATTTCTGATAAAGAAGACAGAGGATTTTTGCAAATTAACACATTGCCCTGAGATGGCATTGTATAGGCTAAGGATTTGGAGAATGAGTTAGGCTTGGGTGTGGTCTGCTTTAGAAAGGAGTAGGGTATCATCTGCAAACATGATATGGGTTAGGGTGGGGCTATTTCTGCAGATTTTGATGCCTTGATAAGTACCTGATGATACAAAGTTATTAATAATTAAGGAGAGAATCTGAGACACCAGCAAAAACATGTAAAGAGAGAGGGGGTAGGGTTTTAAACGAGCCGAGCCGAGCTCGAGCTTAAGGTGTTTGAGCTCGAGCTCAAGCTCTTAATGAGCCGAGCCGAGCTCAGTGTTAGAGGTATGCTGTAAAAGCTGTGTTTTGCAGTTTCTATCAATTTCATTTTGATCTGGCAATCATGTTTCGGTCAAAGTACATATGTTTGTAGTTTATTTATTTATGCAATACATACTCCATGTCTTGTATTGAGATAGTGTGGTTCGAAGAGTTTCGAACGGAAAGATCACCTATCGGTTCCTTATAAGACTAAACTATTCGTTCACAGTCTAGACTGGCAGTGAGACCCCACTTGGAAAAAGACTGTAGTGTATTCCCGATTCAGTTGGTCTTTGACTGAAGGATTACACTAGCACATATGTTAAGTGTTGAACAGGACCACGGAAGGATAAGGATATGAGACTCACTGACCGTTGTCGTAACCTAGACCTTCAGTGATTGATGCGTTCTCTTAAGCTGTAAAATAATATAAAATAGGCATATATTAATATTTCTTATTTATTTGATTTACCAAGTGATTCCTATTCTGTTAGGATGACATACAAGGTATTTTGGTAAGTAAGAATAATTATATGATGTGCTATTATAGATTATTTACAGTCACTATGTTCCAGTGCTCTGGATTGATGACGTCCCCGAAATGAGCTCAAAAAGGAACCTTATGTTAAACCCTGCAGGTAGACGATTGTCTGACATAATGGTTAAAGGCTGAGTGGTACTTAATGCAAGTGTAAGCGTCCGGGTCCGGTTTGGAGTAGATCGATTCTCGTCCTTGCCGGTAGAACGCCGAGAACCTGCAAATAACTCTCACACTGGGGGTTGGATCCAGTGAAGAGCCTCCGATGCTTAAGTCAGTATGTGTATGAGTATACTGGAATTTAGAGAATGAATAGAACGTGTTAAGGAAGAAAGGCTCATCCCCTTTTTATAGGGGTGAGATACCTGCCCTAATAGCTGCCCGGATAAGGATACGTGTGCTGCCCAAGCTGCCCGTCCGTACTCTGACACGCCGCGCACATGTCAGAGGTGCCGCGGGACATTTGGGCGTTGTCAGAGGTGGTTATCGCTATCACCCAATACATTGTCGACACGTGTCCACCCGGCACATGGGGTAAATATTCTCCTGAAGCTCAGGCAGAGACCTCCACGCGCGTCTTCTTTACACGCGTCTGGGCTTATGTTGATCAGCTTGCTCGATCACTCAACTTGCTCGATCGCTTATCTGATCGATTGATGGGTAGCTCGAGCAGTCTGATCGAGCGTCAGGCTACTCGAGCACCGGTGCAGTCGAGCTTTGGGTTGTCCGATCGCTTGTGTGGTCGAGCCCTGGGGCTGCTCGATCCCTTGGATTTCCGCCTTCCGGCTTGGTTTGCTCCCGGTCTGCTCTTCTCAACCGGCTCACCAAATCGGCTCGTCTTTGTACAGATAATATCCTATATCATCTAGTCCCCCCCCACTCTGGTCGAGTCTGAATGACTCGATCTAAGAGTGAGTTCATGCTTATCGATCTTCTGGGTGGCCCATCATTGGGTGTCGACCAGTTGAAGGGTTTCCCGCCTATTCTTTTGAATAATTCTTCATTAATTTCCAGTAATAAAGTTGCCTGTCCCACGTCTTTCTTGTCGCGCCCACTTTTTCGCCACGCGTCCCACCTTTTCGCGTGTGTCAGATGCTTTAATGATGACGCCTCCTCGCCTAACGCGCCCGCTTGGAGTACCGTGTCATTTAATATCCCCGCCGCACGATCTAGCTTTAATCCGACGGTCTTCCTTCTTTCCCTTTTAATTTTCCCCAAGTATAAAACCAGTACTTAGCGAAATTTCGGACTTTTTCCACCTTCGTCTTCCCCAAATTCCTTTGTATTCAAAGTTCTTCCTGCAAAAATCCTAGCTTCCGTCGGCGAATTTTCCTGCAATCTTCAAGCTTTTTCCTGATTCTCTCCTCCGTGATTATGAGTAAGTTGTTTTTCTCTTGATTTTATATTTCCTGTGTCTGGGCTTTTGTATTTTGAGAAATTCTTTCTCTCTTTTCTTTTTCGAATTGGGTATCCGAAGTTTGCTGATTGAGTGTTTTGAATTTGTGCATCGAATTTTGTGTTTGTCTGTTGGTCGCTATAGATTTAGCTCTTCCCCTTTGAAATCCTTTCGGAATCTCCGTTCCCTTTCTTCAAAATAGCCCCTTTTTGTGGAACCCTAATTTCTAAAACCTTCTTTGCCTACCCTTTTCCTCTTTTTTGATATTGTTTTCTTTCTTCTTTTGTTTTCAGATCCTGCTACCTCGACCACTTCCTCTGGTTCAGTCGAAATATTGCCGTCTGCACTTGAAGTCGTTCCTCTTTCGGTTCTTCGCCCTGGTGATACTTTCCCTACCCGTGTCTTCACCGCTCGTGTTGCTTCTCCCAATTCAGGGGATTCCATGGATAATATCCCTCTTCGTCGCCGCCGCCCCGCTTTTGGCTCGATGGATGAGCCTGAGGAGGACGAGGTCGTTTCTTCCCAGCCTACTGCTCCTTTCCCTTCTAATTCTCCCCCTAAACATTCTTCGACCAAGAAACCCTCCAAGAACTCATCTTCTACTACCCTTTCTCCTTCCTGGTTTAAACCTGATAAAATCGGCCAACCTCTGGGTTGGACGTTCATTAGACCTTCCCCTTTTGATCGGTATGATCAACCTCCTCAAGACTGTTACCCCTTCTTCGAAGTTCAGTTTAAGCTCGGGTTGCGTTTTCCTTTGAACCGTGACGTAGTCCGTATCTGCGAGTGGTTCTCGCTTCCCTTGCATCAACTCCCTCCTAACGCCATCCGTTTTATCAACACCTTCATCATCCTCTGTCATATCCGTCTAGGTCGATTCGACCTAGACTTCTTCCATTATTGTTACTGCCCCTCTAAACTGGGCCGGGGCCTCTATCTAAAAAGCCGCAACGGCGCGCACTTCATTAACAACATCCCCTCTAACCTTCCCAAGTGGAGCGATAAATTTATTTCCGTTCAACCCGACGTTCCTTTACCTTGGCCTTCCGTCCCTTGGGTCAGGGATGTCTCGAAAGATGCGGCCTCAGCTCCTCCCGCGAACCCTCTTTTCGACCAACGTATCCATACGGTGAATTCCAAAACCTACTGAGGAGATTCTCGACCTCGTTCGGCTTGAGGATGACCCAGGTAGTTCTCGATCAGTTCATTTTGAGTATCTCCGTGTGCTTGTTTCTTTGTCGGGGTAAATA